ATGTTGGGTTGGCGTATTTAGAGATTAGGATTTGTCACTCCGATTGTCGGAGAGGTATCTCTGGGCCCTCTCGGTAATACACATCACATAAGCCTTGCAAGCATTACAACTAATATGTTAGTTGTGAGATGATGTATTACGGAACGAGTAAAGAGACTTGCCGGTAACGAGATTGAACTAGGTATTGGATACCGACGATCGAATCTCGGGCAAGTAACATACCGATGACAAAGGGAACAACGTATGTTGTTATGCGGTCTGACCGATAAAGATCTTCGTAGAATGTGTAGGAGCCAATATGGGCATCCAGGTCCCGCTATTGGTTATTGACCGGAGACGTGTCTCGGTCATGTCTACATTGTTCTCGAACCCGTAGGGTCCGCACGCTTAAGGTTACGATGACAGTTATATTATGAGTTTACATGTTTTGATGTACCGAAGGAGTTCGGAGTCCCGGATGAGATCGGGGACATGACGAGGAGTCTCGAAATGGTCGAGACGTAAAGATTCATATATTGGATGATATGGTTAGGCCAAGGGGTCAAGCCCATGAGACTTTAGGTCGGTGCAAAAGGAGTTTTACGGAGGCCAGGGGGCCAAACGCCGGAGACCCTGGCGTCTGGCCCTGGGCCAGACGCCGAGGCCCATGGCGTCTGGGCCAGACGCCAAGGATTGTGGCGTTTGGTCCTGGAGTCCGAGTGGGACTCTTGCCTTTCGGGCAAAACCGACTTTGAGGAGGCTTTTGCTCCAAGTTTCGACCCCGGGGCTCAACATATAAATAGAGGGGCAGGACTAGCACCAAAGGGACAAGAAGTTGATCCACGTGATCTATTCCTTAGCCGTGTGCGGCGCCCCCAGCCACCATATTCCTCGATAATACTGTAGCGGAGTTTAGGCGAAGCCCTGCTGCTGTAGTTCATCAAGATCGTCACCACGCCGTCGTGCTGACGGAACTCTTCCCCGACACTTTGCTGGATCGGAGTCCGGGGATCGTCATCGAGCTGAACGTGTGCTCGAACTCGGAGGTGCCGTAGTTTCGGTGCTTGATCGGTTGGATCGAGAAGACGCACGACTACTTCCTCTATGTCGTGTCATCGTTTCCGCAGTCGGTCTGCGTTGGGTACGTAGACAATACTCTCCCCTTGTTGCTATGCATCACATGATCTTGCGTGTGCGTAGGAAATTTTTTGAAATTACTACGAAACCCAACACACCTGTCCACGAGGGTGGGGGGCGCGCCTGCCCCCTGGGCGCGCCCCCTACCCCGTGGCCCCCTGTTGCTCCACCGACCTCAACTCCAACTCCATATATTCGTGTTCGGGGAAAAAATCAGAGAGAAGGATTCATCGCGTTTTATGATACGGAGCTGCCGCCAAGCCCTAAAACCTCTCGGGAGGGCTGATCTGGAGTCCGTTCGGAGCTCCGGAGAGGGGAATCCGTCACTGTCGTCATCATCAACCATCCTCCATCACCAATTTCATGATGCTCACCGCCGTGCGTGAGTAATTCCATCGTAGGCTTGCTGGACGGTGATGGGTTGGATGAGATTTATCATGTAATCGAGTTAGTTTTGTTAGGGTTTGATCACTAGTATCCACTATGTTCTGAGATTGATGTTGCTATGACTTTGCTATGCTTAATGCTTGTCACTAGGGCCCGAGTGCCATGATTTCACATGTGAACCTATTATGTTTTCATGAATATATGTGAGTTCTTGATCCTATCTTTCAAGTCTATAGTCACCTACTATGTGTTATGATCCGGCAACCCCGAAGTGACAATAATTGGGACCACTCCCGGTGATGATCGTAGTTTGAGGAGTTCATGTATTCACTATGTGTTAATGCTTTGGTCTGGTACTTTGTGGGGGATTGTTGGAATTTTGCTAGTAGGCCTTTGGCCCAAAGCCCAACTAAAATTCTGAAATTCTCTTGGCCCATTCATGCACACATGTGAGTGGAGTGAGTGAGGCTAAAGTTTAGTCCCACCTTATAAGTTGAGAGAGAGTTGCACCTTTTTATAAGGTGAGCTCTTCTACCACTTGTATGAGCATGAGAAGAGGATACCTACACGCGCGCTCCTCCTCCTCGCTCGCCTCGCCACGCCACGCCTCGTCACGACGCGCCGCGGGTTGCAGGATTGAGCCGACCCGAGGACAGAGCTATGCACGTTGTCTATATTTTTGCTGCATGGGAAAAATTAATGAGTCATTAATTAATAATTAACAGACGCGTTAATTACTGAACCATTTCCGATTCTTTTGGATCGTGACGACTCGGACGTGGGGTTTACTCCCACGACCTACCCGGCCCGCACTATATAGTCAGGCAGACGTCTACCCTAGCCGCCGCCGCTTTGTATGGTTTCTCACCACCGTTCCACATCATTGCGCCACCAAGCAAGTCTTCTCCATCCCTCCTTCCAGTGTGCACCGCGAGAAGGGACAGCAGGCCTCCGGAACCCCACCTCTCGTGATCCTGTACGGGAGAGGGGCGATCAGGTTTTTGGGGAGCACACTCGCGGGACTGCTGGCAGCGACGACTTCGCGAACGACGACTTCTTCCCCGACATCGGCAACCTCATCCTCGATGACATGGGCGACAATGTCAACACCGGCGGTGCTGCACCCGCTGCACCGTATGTGATTCTATCCTTCCTGTTCGAGATCGTGGTAGAATTCATGTTTCTAGTATGTGCCCTAGATGTGATATGTTCATCTGCTATGCTAGTTCGCATGATTAGTTTAATCTCTGCTGTTGTGGTCATGATTTATCTTCTGTTTATTCGGATTAAATCTCATAGTAATTTGCTCTTATTTCCAACAATTCAAAAACCTAATTATAGGCAATTTACTCCGAGTGGTTTGCTGCGCATCTGAAGCCGCCTGCCTTTAAGGGGGCGCAATATAAGAGGTGGCGCACGAGAGCAGTCTACTGGTTTCAGACCATGGGCTGCTATGATGCCACCAAGGGCAAGCCTGAGGGCGATCTTAATCCAGCACAGCTGAAAGCTTTTGAGAAGATCGATACCCTCTTTAAAGGCGCTCTTCTGAGTGTTCTTGATGACTCCATTATGGATTCGTATATGTCATTTGACAACGGCAAGGACATGTGGGCTGCGCTCGAGGCCAAGTTTGGTGCCTCGGACGCCGGCAGCGAGTTGTACGTCATGGAGCAATTCTATGACTACAAGATGACTGATGAACGCCCTGTTGTACAACAGGCTCATGAGATACAGTCGCTCGCAAAAGAATTTGAGTACTTCAAGTGTGTGTTGCCGGACAAATTTGTTGCCGGAGGCATCATTGCCAAGCTTCCACCTTCGTGGGACAATTTTGCTACTTCCCTGAAACACAAGAGACAGGAGTTTCCCGTTGCGGATCTCATTGGTACTCTTGATGTTGAAGAGAAGGCGAGAGCAAAGGACACACATGCTCGAGTTGCTGAGGGAGGTTCTAGTGCCCACATGGTATAGAAGAAGAACTTCCAGCCCAACAAGTTCAAAAACAACAAGAACAAAACTCAGGGCAAAGGCAAGTTTGATACAAAGAACAAGCCATCACATTCTACCAACTTTAAGAAGAATTCTCATAAGAAGGGGAAGGGACTTTGCCATGTGTGCGGTGATCCTAATCACTAGGCTCCGAAGTGTCCTAACCGCTTTGAGGAGCGCGAACATGAGAAGAGCGGCAAGTCCGCTAATGTTGTCATCGGTGATACTGATATGAAGGAATCAGGGTACGGTATTTTTCCTACCATCCTTTCAGTATTTCAATCCCCTGATTGCGTAATTGATACCGGTGCCAATGTACATGTTTGTGCTGACGCCTTCATGTTTTCTTCTTACCAGGCAACAGGGACTTCACCCGTGCTGATGGGGAACGGGTCACATGCCATCGTTCGAGGTGTTGGTACGGTCGATCTGAAGTTTACTTCGGGGAAGACTGTGCGTCTGAAGAACGTTCATCATGTGCCGTCCATCAATAAAAATCTCGTTAGCGGTTCCCGTTTATGTCGAGATGGTTTTAAGTTGGTTTTCGAATCCAATAAAGTTGTAATTTCTAAGTATGGACAATTTGTTGGAAAAGGCTATGAGTGTGGAGGCTTGTTGCGCCTATCTTTGTCAGATATTTGCACTAAAGTTATTAATAATGTTTGCCACAATAATGAGTCTGATATTTGGCATTCACGACTTTGTCATATTAACTTTGGTTGCATGACGCGGCTAGCCAATATGAATTTAATTCCGAAAATCTCTACAGTCAAAGGCTTCAAGTGCCAAGTATGTGTGCAAGCACAGTAGGGGCATAGTTCTTCGCTAAATCGCGAAGTTCGCGAACTGTCGAGGCCTTGCCTGCGCCCCGACAGTTCCAACATATATAACTCATTGTGCCCGGCGGTGCCCCCCTGGGGAGCCCGCCGATAATGCATTTGCTGAATCAGTTGTACCGTCTTCCCCTTCTCCGAGATGCTTTGGCAGCCCCTTCTTTGGTCGTTTGATGTTCTTACGTGGCAAGACATATACCGGAGGGAGTGGAGGCACCCCCTTTGGATTCTTATCTGACAGAACGACCGCAGTCCCATTTAATTCTGGAGTAGGTGCAGCGAGGCCAGATGAAAAAGCTTGCATGTTGTCACGGGACACTCTTGTTGCTGCTTCTGTTTTCCTGCTCACTTGCTATTGCTTCCGTCTCCAGGGGCGTGTTTGGTTAGTTTCTCCACCGGGCCTGGCTAGGAGAGCAAAAACAAGCCGGGCTGAGCATGGCCTGGGCGAGGAAAAATAGGGTCAAAAACGTAGATGACCTGTTGATTGGTTGCCTGCATTAGGGGTCTTGTCATCGAGATGCAATTTTCATCCGTGTTTGGTTGCATACATGCATATGATTAGGAGTTAACAACAAAGTTTAACACCCACCAGGTTTGGCATCTCATTTCGTCGAACACGTTGAGCGCGCCGGAGGTTCCTCTACTCATCATGTCCACCGCCAGCTCCCTGCGACCATGGGTGCTCTCGGCACCTGGACTCCTCCGCACCAGCCCCAGCTGCCGCGTCCCGTTCGCCGCGTCCAGGAGCACGCCCGCGTGTGGCCGGGCTTCGACGAGCGCAGCGTCCGGTTCATGTCGCGCCTGCTCGAGTGCTGGGGCCTCGAGTCCTCCCGCGCCGAGGTCGAGCTCATCGTCTTCTCCGCCATCGACAACCTGCTCGCCAAGACCAAGGTCGCCCCGGAGGACATCGACATCCTCGTTGTCAACTGCAGCCTCTTCGCCCCGACGGCGTCCTTCGCCGGCATGATCGTCAACCGCTACAACCTCCGCAAGGACGTGCGCAACGTGCACCTCGCCGGGCTCGTCTTCGTGGGAGTCGCCAGGAACCTGCTCCAGGTCGCGCCCAGGGGCTTGAACGTGCTGGTGGTGTCCATGTTGACCATCACGCCCAACTACTACATAGGCAAGGAGTGCCATGCTGGCCCCTGGCCAACTGCCTCTTCCGCATGAGACGGCGCCGCCGTGCTCCTCTCCAATAACGGCGCCAACGCGCGGTTCCGGCTGGCGCGCGTGGTGCGGACGCTGAGCAGGGCGCCCAGGACGGCGCGTACCGCTGCGTCTACCAGGAGGAGGACGACAACGGCAACGTGATGACGACTGCGCCATGCGACTACTGCAGCCTTTTTGCTCCGACGCCGTCCTTCGCGCGAACTCCACGCGGTGCGCGGACGCGGCGGGGCACGTTGACCTGGACGCAGAAGGCGTCCACCACGCCGCCGTCGGGCTTCTTGCTCGGCGCCGGGGGTGCGGAGGCCGACCCACCACGGCCGCCTGCGCCTGGGGCGGAGGGGGCGGCGGCGGGGCGCGCAGCTCCTCGCTCGAGGACTCGGCCAGCGCGGCGGGCGCGAACATCGGGGACGCCGGGACGTCCGGGCGCTTCTGCTGCATGTGCGGCGGGGACGGCATGAACTCGCGCAGCCGTCGAGCTCCCTCCGCGCCCGCCCTCGACATCGCACTTTGCAAGCGGCAGCAACCCTCCCCGCGCAGCGCTCTGGCTTGGTCTAGCTCGGCCGGACAGGATCGACGGGATCGCACTGGAGTAGAGGAAGAGAGGGGATTGAGGATTAGGGAGAGAGGGGGGATTAACTCGGGACACACGTCTCCGAGAGCCACCAGGTGCGCCTCGAAGCATCGCTCGGGCCTGGCTCTTGCGAAACTGCCGATTCGGCTGTTCCCAACGGGCCAGGCCCAGTGGTGCTTTATGAATCGTGCTATGCAGGCTGAATAATGTATGCAAGCAACCAAACAACCGGGGTTTAAAAAAATACTGCATCGAGCAGGCCTGGTTGGGCTTGATGGAGGCAACCAAACTCGCCACGTCTGGGAAGTGGGCGCGGACGGCGACGGTCCTCCCGGCCCGTACGGTCCACGCTGCCGACGCCCTCCACGCAACGCAAAGGCAGGCTGGGACACTGCTAAAAAGAAAAAGGCAGGCTGGGACAGAGTCTTAGAAGCCACTCGGTTTCGTATAAAGCCCCTCGGCTCGCCCCAAATTGGCCAAATCACAACACCGAGCCCAAACTATGCCCCGGCTGCACCAGCTCCCATTCCTCGCCGTCGAGCTCACCGGACACCGCCCGAAGCCAAGATGGTAAGCGGATCTAGACTTCTCCACCTGGTTTGGAAGGATGCCCCCTTGTCGGGACGGGTCGGTGCTGATTGGTTAGGGGCAAATCCGGATCTGGATCTGCGTATGGGATCCTCGCCTTGACACCTTTGGATGCGATCCCTTCGTGTTCTCGATTCTGATTTGGTCCTGATGTTTGCGCTTGGTTGGGGGAAATAGGTTCTAGTATCATTTTCGTGGATCCGCTTGATACGTTGGTTTGGGCTAGCAGGATCGTTGGATTTACCGTGAGCATGGAGCCTTTTACGGGAATCGGATGCTGTAGTTTTATTTCTCGCGGCGAGGATGGATCAGGAATAGGTAGATACATGGGTTATTTGAGTCGAATGGTACTGGAAATTAGATATTTATGTTCTCCGTCAAGTCTTCATAATGGGGAGATTGGATGATTTGCCACGATTTATTCCGTCTTGGAATAATTAGTACTAATGAATTAGTGACGCTGCCATCAGAAATGGAGTATTTGTAGTTGCTATTGCCGTCAGAATTTGTACTTTGGGAGTGTGTGGTGGAATCAAGAGCATGGGTAGAAATCTCAGTGGTGACGTGCTAAATTGCATGGAGTCGTGCACTTGTTTGGTGTAATTCTCTAGTGTACACCAAAACCTCTGTAGCATGTTGCGGGTGGAACAACTGCCGATCATCCATCCTGCTAAACATAGGTGTTGAATGCAAATTTTACTCACAATATCATGTAAACATTTTTGTGTTTAGGTTTTGTACCCCTTTTGGTGCAAATGTGGAGAGAGGTGCGGGTATCTTTTTGCAAAATTGTCATAGTTTGCTTTCTATCCATCAGATATAGATTGGACGGTCTATATTGCAAGATGGCAGGCACAATATCATCACCAACTCGTTTTTTTATAAGAGTAGAGATAGAGAAATATTGATGCCACCGCAGAAAAGTAAGCATGTTGTGATGTAGTGGTGGCCTACTAGGCAGGAAAAAGTATCGGTGAACTCACTATTGTTGGCTGGAAGGTCAACGCATGTAACTGGCTAATCTACTGATAGTTTTGCTATCATTCGACCCTCGTATATGTGGAGTTAGCAGTTTGAAAAAAAGGGCAACCTGGTGCATGTAGCTCCCGCTTGCGCAGGGTCCAGGGAAGGGTCCGACCACTTTGGGTCTATAGTACGCAGCCTTTCCCTACATTTCTGTAAGAGACTGTTTCCAGGACTTGAACCCATGACCTCATGGTCACAAGGCAGCAGCTTTACCACTGCGCCAAGGCTCCCCTTCGTGGAGTTAGCAGTTTGAGTGCTTATTTATATTGTTCAATGTATCTTTTCCGCTGAACGGTGGCCTTTCTCTTTCTGTATGCCAGACTACTTCCAGGCGCCTTGCTGACAGGAAGACATCGAAGTTCCAGAAGAACATCACCAAGAGGGGTTCGGTGCCTGAAACCACTGTGAAGAAGGGGAATGACTATCCTGTTGGACCTATAGTGCTTGGATTCTTCATCTTTGTGGTCATCGGATCATGTATGCATTCCAATCTCTTATGTTCAATCTACTTTACTGCCACTTGTCACATGCTCATTTACATAGCATTTGTCATCAGCCACTTTGCTTTGGGAAGATATCTACTAGTGACTACGTTTCTTTAATCTTCGCTTTTGTCATGAGTATGATTGCATAACATTTTGATCATTCATGTCCTATGTAAAGAGTGTATATTCTTGTCCTGTGCTAGATCTTTGACATTGATCTTGTGTGCAACTGTGCGCATTCTGGGAGCCATTGACCTATTTTCTATGAATGTAAGGCTACTGCAAGATTCTAACAAACCCTTCGACTCAAAAACAACATAACTACGATTGTGCAGGAACTGAAAGGTTGCATCAATCTCATGATTTTCGTGAACTTACATTGTGTGGTTCTGCCATTTTTTCTTGCTTGTCCATATGGAACTTGAGGGTTGTCTACGTCCTTGCTGTTTGTCTGTCTTTCAGCATAACTAAGATGAAACAGTTCATCTTAGTGTCGCTTATTTTGTAATCTCAAAAGAAAGATCTTCCAGCTGATTTGCCTCTTTTAACACGCTACAGCTCTGTCTCTGCAGCTCTGTTTCAGATAATCAGGACAGCGAGCAGTGGTGGGATGGCCTGAACACTGTCATACATTAATACAGTTGCAGCTAAATCTGTTTGATGTCGTCATAGTTTGTCTTCTTAAAAGTACCTAGTTTGAACTGATGTTGTAAGAACTGTAAACAGAGTTATCAATCTTATACATGTTAAACGGACAAGTTTGTCTCTGGTCACTGTTTTCAGTCGCATTTGCATGTTGAAGCAACCTCTTTGTTTGCAACTCAGGCGGCAAGTGGACGCGGGCTGCCCGCGGCGCCCACTTCCCGAGCCAACTAATTTGCGTACGTGGACACACGCGGGACTGTGTCAAAGTTACGTGGAATTTGTGGGATATCCCACAAAACCCACATCGAGCCCACCTGTGTCTACATCCTTCACATGCGACGCGTCCGGATGAAGCGGCAGTGGGGATTAGGCGAGGAGAGCAGCAGCCGGAGCGCCGCCGCTAGCTCCGGTAGCACTCGTCCTCCTGCTCTGCCCCGACATGCCTGCCATGTTGATGGAGGAGAGCTTCGCTGCTGCCATTGCCAGATCCGCTCTCACGCCTCCATGCGTCCTCCCGCTCCGTCGCGACCTGCCCCTGCGCCAATGCAGGAGAGCTTTGCCGGCACCACCGGCCGCCGTTAGCTCCGCATCCACGACTCAATGCTTCCTACCGCTCGGCC